GGAAAGCTGTTTGTTATATCTCTCAATGATCCACATGAAATGAAGCTATACATTTCAAATACATTAACTTGGGATGGGAATAAGAAAGACAGTGGGATGAATCAGACGTAAACTTCCTGTGTTCATTTATGAACACACAACCAGTGAAACTCAACATCATGTCCAGCCCCAAGAATGGGATCCTAATTAGAACAAGTTATACTCCATGCATGTAGAATACGTCAAAGTACACTCTACTGTCATGCATACCTACAAAGAACAAATTAAAATTAAAAATAAAAATATATTATGTAAAAGGTATAAATTAAGTTTTTGTATTTTTGTTAAAGTAAAATATCAAAAAGAAAGAATGAGTGAATAGTCACTAGATTTGAAAGATACCATTAGTGGTCTCCTCAAAAATTTAAGTGGGGGAGCTCAGGGGCTCTGCAAAGGCAGGTGGGTATCTTCTAGCACAAAAAGGTAAGTAGGAAGAATAAGTGTCAATCAAAAAAGACAGGCCATAAGTTATAACAATTGTAGAACCATCATTGTCAACAACATAAGGTTTAAAGGCATATATAATAACCCCAAGACTTATAGTCAAATGGCTTCATATGTTGGTAATTATAAAAGAGTATTAGCTGGGTGTGTTGGCTCACACCCATTATCCTAGAGGCTGGGGAGGCTGAGGCAGGAGGATTGTAAGTTCAAAGCCAGCCTCAGCAACTCAGTAAAGCCCTAAGCAATACAGTGAGCCCTTGTCTCAAAATATAAAAAAGGGCTAGGGATGTGGCTCAGTGGTTAAGTGCCCCTGGGTTCAATCCGAGGTACAGGAAAAAAAACAACAAAGGAATAAAGGATTATTGGAAGGTATTACTCCATTTGGCAACAGTAAATGAGACAAAAGTGGGTTATAGATACACGTGCTCTTCTTTCACGTACCCACTGTAGGTTTTTGCTTTGTGGTTAGTAAGTCTTTCATGGAACGCCTTAAAACAGGCCATGTCGAGCTGATGACTATTTAACTATTAACTGCTCAAGGCTTTTAGCTAATATCATGTCTTTCTGGGGAGCCTCCCATAAAGATTCTCAAATGTAAGGTTTCTGTTGAAGAAAAATAAATTGCAGTGCTCTCATGTTGACTTCATAGAGTGCCATGTAAATACGTCATATAAAGCTAGATATAAAGAATCACAAGTCAAACAGAACCAGACACAAAGCAAAACATCACTCTGCATGATCAAAATCGACTGCAGTTAGCTGTTAAATGTCACCAAGGTGGTTTTGCTTGAAGCCAGTGCCGGGTGATAACTGAACAGAGCAGAGGCTCTTTTGTTTTAGTAGAGCCAACTGGTGGAACGCAGACTTGGGGATGATGAGGAGAATTGATTGATTTGCTTATTACAATAAACAGTCTCCCTAACGTGGAGCAGAGAATGTCCACACATCATCGTGTAGGAGAGGATGCTCAGAGACACAGGGAAAGAAGAAAAGACGAACCTGGAGAATGTTTTTGTTTATTTGTTTTTTTTAGATGTACTGACAGTGGAGTAGATTTTGACCATTATACATACGTGGAGTATAACTTCCCATTCTTGTGGTTGTAAACATGAAGTGGAGTTTCACTGGTCGTGCGTTCATATACAAACATAGGAAAGTTCTGTCCCATTCATTCTACTGTCTTTCCTGTTCCCATTCCCCTCCCTTCCCTTCATTCCCCTTTGTCTATTCATGAACTTCTATTATCTACCCAGCTTATTGTGGGTTAGCATTTGCATATCAGAGAGAACTGGTTACCTTTGGTTTTGGGGGACTGGCTTATGTCACTTAGCATGGTAGTCTCCAGTTCCATCCATTTACCTGCAAATGCCATAATCTCATTCTTCTTTAAGGCTGAGTAATATTCCATGGTATATATATATACCCCATTTTCTTTATCCATTCATCTGTTGAAGGGCACCTAGTTTGGTTCCATAGCTCAGCTCAGTGAATTGAGCTGCTGTAAACATTGATGTGGCTGTGTCACTGTAGTAGGCTGATTTTAAGTCCTTTGGGCCTATGCTGAGGAGTGAGCTAACTGTGTCAAATGGTGAGGAGAATGTTCTGTGAGTGGGTGAAGCTGAAGAGGTTGATGTGTGTGTGGATGACTTCATGTCTTCTCCAGTGCCTTTTCCCCATAATAAGTTAAGAGCCCTCCTTAAATAGGTAAGACTTAACATCAGGGTCTTACGATGTCCAGTCATTACTTGGTGAACACCATGAAACTAACGCCCTGCTGGGGCCCTGGGGTCTGACTGTAAGAGGAACAGTCTCAGCCCTTGTGGGTGCTGTGGGTCTAGGTGGGGAACAGGCACCAGCCAAATAATTTAAAGTGTAACAAGAACCAGAAAAAGGAAGCTGTAAGGTGCTATGGGAATTGTAACTCTGTCTGCAGAAGCAGCTAGAATAGGCAGTGACGTGGACTCTAACACCCAGAGGCCAGGAAGGAGCTCACTAGTCAAATGTGAAGGGTTGTTTTCGGGTCTTCCCATGGATCATTGTGTGTGATACCTCTTACTTCAGGCAGAATACCAGAAAGTTGGGGCTACCACTGAAATACATTTCTGGTCCATATAAGAATGTTATTTTTTATTTTATTTATTTATATATTTATTTTTGGCACTGGGGATTGAACCCAGGGGCGCTTACCCACTGAGCTACAACTCCAGCCCTTTTCTGTATTTTATTTCTGTATTTTATTTAGAGACAGAGTCTTGCTGAGTTACTTAGGGCCTCGCTAATTTGTTGAGGCTGGCTTTGAATGATCCTCCTGCCTCAGCCTCCCAAGCTGCTGGGATTACAGGTGTGCGCCATTGCGCCTGGCTAAAAGAATGTTCTTGATGGATGTTCATACTGAATCCTACCTGAGAATTAGTTGATCTATAAATCCTGGTAGACTCCTGTCCCCTGGTTAGGCAGAACAGAGGAACATCTACTGAAGTGGTCTCACCTAGTTCTCTGCCACCCCTCAGCTCAGGAAGTCAGGCTTTCGAGATCCAGATGGTTTTCTGAGTGGCCAGCAATCACAGCTGTCTCATGCTGAGATTCTGTGCATTTGGCCCCTCCTCTTTAGCAATGCCTTTCTCCACCTCTAAAGGTCAGAAAGTGGCTACATGGACCTTATTTGGTCTCCAGAAACCCACAGAGTGGATGTGTGCTTCTATGTCCCATGAACTTCAAGAGGATCATGGGCCTGAATGTCCCTCAATGGTGGCGAGTATTTCTTTTCTTATATGTCCCACTCGTCAGACCAGCTCTCATGACATAGAGAGGGTTCGGCCTTTCCAAAAAGAAGTAAGGAAGGCAAAAGAAGAAAACCCCATCTTGCCTCCTGTAGACCATTCAGGTGCTTCTCCGAGGGGAGGGCATCTGTCCCCCGTGCCCTCGAATGCTGCCTGGAAAGGAGATGGAAAGGCTCAAGTGGGGTCCAGAAGCCAGAGAGACCTCCCCTCTCCACCTGACCTCCCCGTTGTCTTGGGCACAGTTGGCAGTTGACATTGTCTTCCTCTTTTCCTTGGGACAATGGTGTCCATGACTGAGGTAAATCCCATCATTCACCCACAACATACCCATCACCTGTGCTGGGTTTTGTGTCAATGAAGCACTCATGTTGGCCTTGACCCCTCAGGGTGGATACTGGCCACCGGCAAGGAGCAGGGTGACCCCTGTAGGGCCAGACATTAAATCTTTGATTTCTGAATGGTGGGGAGGTCCTGGAACCCCAAGGGCAGAGGGACATAGTCTCAGAACACTGCAGTTCACTGCGTGGTCTGGAAATGCCTTAGAAGTGTAATAGCTGATGTGTCTGTAACCATGGTACCTGATGAATGTCTGTGGACGCATACCCCACAGCAAGAGGGTCTGCACTGGGAACTGATGCTCGGGGACCTGATCCCAGTACCCGCTTCTTGAACTTGCTGTTGAACTTGGGGTAAGTCTCTTCTGTTCCTCCTCCTTTGTTTTTCCAGCAGTCTGAATGGTAGTAAGGCTCCCATCTTGGTACAGATTTCATCCTCACGTTTCTTTAGCCAATGACCAGGTGTATTATATTATGGTTGAAAACCTGGGTCCCCGAACTTGGTCTGAATCCTGATCGGAAATTGATGGCAGATTCTACAAGAATCCTGTTCTTTCTACTGTAAAATGGGAATTATAACAGGACTTATTAGGATGGGGATTATAATAGGAGTCTCCAGATTCTGGAAGTTTTCTTCTTTTATGGGGAGGGGATTGAACTCAGGAGCACTCAACCACTGAACTACACCCCCAGCTCTATTTTGTATTATATTTAGAGACAGGGTCTTGCTGGGTTGCTTAGTGGTGTGCCATTGCTGAGGCTGGCTTTGAACTTGAAATCCTCCTGCCTCAGCCTCCTGAGCTGCAGGGATGACAGGCATATGCCACCGTGCCAAGCCAGATTTTGGAAGTTTTCCAGGCCCTATTTTCCTCTACTGTAAAATTGGGATTATGATAGGACCTATTGGGATGGAGATTATAATAGGGTTGTCCAGATTCTGCATGTTTTCTAAGCCTTATTCTCTCTACTGTAAGATGGAGATATAATAAGAACTACCATGTCGGGTTGTGGTGGAAGGAATGTTGGCAGGAGAGAATCAGCACCATGTAGCTCAGAGATGTTAGTTTCTATTAGATTTGGTGGCTAAGGTAGAAAAAAAGTTGCAGAGAAAATTTCTTTCTCCCCACAATCCATCCACGAATGGAGGTTATTTTTGCAATCCAAGCTGCCCTAGCTTGTGGTCCACTCCTAGACATAAGGGAGCCTGGAGAGTGAGGGGGGACAGTGGCATTGGGCCATGTCCTCAGAATGTGGGCCAGGCACTGCCCAAGGGCTTGTTCCCTGATGTCTCAATCTGTTCAGCAGAACTCTGCCTCGTGCCAACTTCCTCTAATTCAGAATAATTTTCAGTGCATGGTGCAGCAAAATGCTCCACACAGCTGAATTCTGCTTTCCATTTCAGATGTCCTCTGTCCATCTGGAGCTGAGATGAGGCCCAGAGAAGCAGGTGAGACTCTGGACAGACCATCGCCCAGTTAGAATCACCCCCCACTGAATTCTAACCTGAAGGACACGGAAGAACAGTGGACTCAATTCCAATATGAAAGGGAAAAGTAGCCAGTGTGGTGGTGCATGCCTGTCATCCCAGTGGCTCTGGAGGCTGAGGCAGGAGGATTGTGAGTTCAAAGCCAGCCTCAGCAACTTAGTGAGGCCCTAAGCAATTTAGCAAGACCCTGTCTCTAAATAAAATATAAAAAAGGTCTGGGGATGGGGCTCAGTGGTTAAGTAACCCTGGGTTCAATCCCCAGGAACAAAAAGAAAAAAAAAAAAAAGAAAAAGAAGAAGAGAGCAAATGTCGGTTGCCCCAAAGGCAATCAAAACCAACAGATCCCATTCTGAGCAAGAGTTTAGGATGAAGGAAGCCATTAATAAATGTGTCCACAAAAGAACAAGTACCTGGAATCATCCTGATGGATCATTTTTTCTGTTTTCTTCTGGCAAAGTCCCTGAGGTTCATTTATCCTCCAAGCTTCTGGTAAGCCTCTACCCTGTGCCTGAGACTTTGCAAAAACTAAGGAAAGAGAAGCAGCAAGACCCATAGAGAGCCAGTAGCTCAATGTCACCCAAAAGCCAAAAGATGCCACGAGTTCTTCAACTTCTCTCCAACAACATTTTTATAATCTATCATTGTCCTCAAGTAAGGCTGGGACTGCCCTCTCTCTGTATTCGGGCTCCTTGGTCTCCACAGTCTCTCTTGACTGGAAGGCGTATTATGAGACGGAATGTCCCATCGGAGAGGCAGGTAAGAAATCTGAACTGCAGGGCCTCACATGCCCCCACCTCTGTCCTGGGCTCCTTCTCCCTGGCAGGTGGAGGGACAAAAGGTCCTTTGTCCTCAGGATCCTATAGGATAAACAGAGAGAACATGTTCTTGCGGGCTAATCTGCCGGTGATAAAGAGGATTGTTTTATCTCCTGCCATCTCTGGGTTCCATGGGATGGATTCTACTGGGGAGACAGAGTGGCCTTTGTCTTTCCAACCCACTGAGACGTTTAAATTGACCTTTCCTGTATTCCTCGGTTGTCACTGCCTGAGCACTGGGTTGTCATTATGCATGGAGAATACTGTCCCCACGAGGGGACCGTCCTCCAGGGAGAGGCTGTGATGCTGAGAAGCAGCTTCATCCTCTTCTGCTTAATTTTTCTTAAAATTAAGACAACCTCATGCACAGTCAGAGGCTTGTAGGAAAATGGAAGGGACAGTACAGAGATCCCTTCTTCCCCTCCTTCCCCTGTCTGGTCGCCCCGGTCACCACGTCTTGCGTGAGTGTGGTGCCTGTGCTGATCCACAGGGCCATGTCGTCATGCACTGGAGCCCCGAGTTCACATTCGGGTTCACTCTTTACATGGTACAGTTTATGGATCTTGTCAAATATGGTGACATGTTCCTACAGCAGTACACAGAGGAGTCTCCCAGTCCCCAGGTCCCCGGTGTCTAACTATTCTCCCTCCCTTCGTCTGTCTGTCCATCCCTCCATCTGTCCATCCCTCCCTCTGTCCATCCATACCTCCCTTCAACTGTCCATCCATCCCTCCCTCCATCTGTCCATCCCTCCATCCGTCCATCTGTCCATCTGCTCATGCCTCTATCCAACCAGCCCTTCTTCCTCTCTCCCTTCTTCCATCCTTCCCTTCTTCCCTCCCTCCATCTGTCCATCCCTCCCTCTGTCTGTCCATACCTCCTTCCCTCTTTCCATCCCTCCTTCCTTCTGTCCATCCCTCCCCCCATCTGTCCATCCCTCCCTCTGTCTGTCCATCCCTCCCTTCATCTGTCCATTCCTGCCTGTCTGTCCCTCCCTCCATCTGTCCACCCATCTCTCTTCCCTGTGTCCATCCATCCCTCCCTCCCTCCATCTGTCTGTCCACCAACCCTGGGCCAGCACTGATCTTTCCTCTGTCCCTAGTCCTTCCTTTCTCAGAGTGTCACATAGTCTGAATCACACACCACACAGCTTTTCCAGGGTCACATCATTCACTTGGAAGAGTGTGTGTCAGGGTCCTCCGTGTCCCATGGTCGGGTCACTCGTTTCTGCTTTTGCTGAGTAGCTGTGGCTTCATTTTTGGAGCTTTTGGTAGAAGGAAGCCAAGTACCTGGTTCCACCTCTCATCTTGTTTTTTTGTATTTTCCTAATGGGGACATGATCTGAACTTGGTTCACTGTGTGTTTTATTTCAAAGAATGGAGTGGAACCTCAGAACAATTTCAGCACTTTTTGGGTAAGTCTGGAGAACTAGACAGCACATTCTGATACCTCAGAGGTAGTCTGCGGGGAAGTCAGCTGGGGCCACAGGCAACATCGCTTTCACCCAGAATAATTTATAGTCATATAATTAGGATTTTCCCTAAAACATATTATTATTTTTTATCTTCTTAGCAACTCTGGAGGGCCCACTTATCTGGCTAGTAATACAACTCACAAACTCACTTTTAATGCATGGATCAAACATTTCTGAAACAGAAACCACCTCGTCTATCAGAAGGGAAGGGCGGCAGCGGGGCAGCGCCCACCCACGTACCTTATAAGGTAGGAGGCAGCAATCGGTGCTGATTGGAAAGGGGGCAAACGGTAGGGTTCCAGGGAGTGAGCAGAGTGTCCCCACTATGCCCTCACCAGTTCTCTGTCCTTGAATGAGCCATTTCTCCTCTCTGCGACCCAGTGTGCGCTTCTGTCAACTACAGCTAATGACAGTTGGCACTTTATAAGTCTGTCTCTGAGATGGAAGGAGCTAGGGAGATGACCCACAGAGAATGTTTGGCACAGTCTCAGCCACAAAACAACAACAAGACAACAAGTCCACACAAACATCACACAAGACCCACGGGGCATCTGACCTGTGAAGGACAGGGAAGCTAGGTCCAGTGTAGTTGCTCAATAAATTAGCCCTGATATCTCATGGGAGCAAAGACAGGGGGCGTGTGCTCTCAGAGGATGCAGCCCAGGACACGGAAGCCATCTTCACCAAAGTCCAGCAGCCTGGAGGGGATTAGCATGGAGGACAGACTGTGTACCATCTTACGGGGACGCCACGTTTGGTTCTGTCCCTGCTAAGAGAAAGTCACTGCTAATGACTGTCATTCTTCCCTCTTCCCCCTTCAAAGACCCATTTCCTGAGCAAGTATATGCATTGATAAGAGCATCAGCAGAAACACACACACACACACACACACACACACACACGCACACCCGGTTCCTAAATTCAGTCCACTCTTTTTTTAGTATGAAGCCAAAGAATACAAAGTCTCCCCACTCCTGCTCTCTTCTACAATGTAACTTATTACCTACTTATTAAGATCCCAACGGTGCAGGAAATCTCATTCCCACACAACACCCCAAGTAACTAATCACCCTCAGCATTATTATTTTTTTGAATCCGACTTTTACTTTTTACACACTTTCATTTTGCGGAAAAAGCCTCTCCTGCCAAAGGCAGGATAAATAAACGTAGCTCCATCCTGTTTCCCTACATCTTTGTTTATCCAGTGATTGTCCACGAACGCACACGCGAAGGCCCAGTGAGACAGGAGCAGAACAGCTTGACGTTAGGGGAAGCTATTACCTAAAGTGACACCAAGCAGGTCCCATGAAGTGACATGAAAAAGAAGTAGAGATAGCCGCAAACGATGATTGACTGTTAAGGAATGGACTCCGTTGTATAAAAGAAAAAAAAAGCAATAGTGCAAAAAAAAAAAAAGTACATCATTAAGAGCATGTGGAAAGATGTTGGTGACAAGATGATACAGCTTAGCGGTTCAGAGCATAGACTTGGCAATGAGAGTGGATTTGAAACTTGGCTTCACCTTTAACTGGATATCTCAGTTGGCCACGCTGACCCTCAACTTCCTCATGTGCACAATGGAATTAATGAAATCTACCTCAGTGCTTTTTGAAGATTGATTAGATAAAAATGGCTAAAAGTAGCTGGACATGGTGGCACATGCCTGTTATCCCAGCGGCTCAGGAGGCTGAGGCAAGAGGATCACAGGTTCAAGGCCAGCCTCAGCAATTATTTGAGACTCTAGTAACCGAGTGATACCCTGTTTCAAAATAAATAATAATAATAATAATAATAATAATAATAATAATAGGGTGGGGATGTGGCTCAATGGTTAAGTGCCCCTGTGTTCAATCACCACCTCCCCAAAGAAAGAAAGAAAGAAAGAAAGAAAGAAAGAAAGAAAGAACCCAATCTAAAAGTATTTGATGCTTGGCTCAGGTAGATTTTCACTAACTGTTAGCACTTACTAAAATGTTAACAAAGATTATGAATCAAGGGGCACATAGCATAAAGCACTGTCCCAATTTTACCACAAAAAAACCCTCTTATTCCAGAGTATCCTAGGAAGTTAGTGTTTGGAAGGAAACAATTTGGTAGATGTTGCCTTGAATAAGAAACCTAAATGTGTTTACCTAATGTTTGTGTATCTGTGGTGTCTGTTTCTAATATCCTCATTGAAATTTAGGAGATTTAAAGTGAGATTTATGGGGCATCAGGGTTGGGGTCAGGAATGCACCATTAGTTGCTGTCCCCCCACTTTTTTTTGGTACCGGGGGATTGAACCTAGAGACGCTTAACCACTGAGCCCCATCCCCAGCCCTATTTTGTATTTTATTTAGAGACAGGGTCTCCCTGAGTTGCTTAGGGCCTCACTAAGTTGCAGAGGCTGGCTTTGAACTTGGGATCCTCGGGCCCCAGCCTCCTGAGCCGCTGGGATGACAGATGTGCACCACCATGTCTGCTGCTGTCCCTGTTTCTAGGAGGAACTGGATCACATTTACATCATTGCTACTTAACAACTTTTCTGAGACCCAACTAAAACAGACCCAACTAAAATTCCCTGCCCAGTGGAACAAGATTTGCAAAAGACAGTCTTCTTGTTTGATCTCAACTCTGGCAGGCCTCTGTCTGACGTGGCTTTATTGCCATGTCAGAATGTCCCCCTGTGTCCCATGAGATGGAACCCATCACCTAACCCTGGGGGAGGTACTATGAGCCTGGAAGAGGCATTTGGAGCCTCTCTGGAGATAAGAAAACTGCACGGAAGGTTCTGGGTATTTCTATGATCTGTTATAGATGGATAATTCAAGGTGCAAGCTCACAGCTTGATTTTTTTTTTTTTTTTTTGAAGATAGTTTCACAGTGAAATTCATTTTCCATAACTCCCAAGGTGGTTTTGCAATCCATCTGTGAATTTAATCAGTCTCCTCTGTTGAGGCAATCTCTGCTAATTGGGTTTCTCATGAGGGGTAATAGACATGATGACAGAAGCACTTCGTCTCTGGAAAGGAATCCAGAGTCTCATCAATAACACTGATAATAACGGATCCATCCCCCAAAGAAACGGAGTGCACGCCTCAGGAGGGACTCCCCACAATGGGCCACCTGGAATCGGGTGGTATTTGTCTTCTCGACGACCATTCTCGGACTCCTCCTTCCTGGTGGACAGCCGGGAAATGATAATCTTGGAATGAAGACTGAAAGTCTCTAGGACTATTAAGTGGGCTTCTAGAAGTTTCTCAGAAGACAAGAGCAGAGGAATGGAGAGCCACATTATCAATGAAAACAAAGGTGGAACACAGAATCCAAATGTCTTGGTGTTGTCCCCTTTCCCTATCTCGGGGATTCCCGCTCCCTCCTGCGGCAGTGAAGGGGTTTCTACACCTCTGGCCTTTCAGGGCCCTGACCAGGAATGCGGAAGGCACAGCTGTTACTCTGAACTGGCGAGGCATCCTGGCACAGAGGGG